CTGCTCAATGGCGGCCTCCGCCACTGGCTGCGCCAGGGCCTCCCGCTGAGCTCAGGCAAAAGCCACCCGGCGCCGGCTGTGTTCTGCGCCGTGCTAGACCCCGCGTTCATCAAGACGTACGACGACATCAGGGAGAACCTGGAATCCCGGCGCTTCCAGGTGGTGGACGCCCGTGCCGCCGGCAGGTTCCGGGGCACCGAGCCCGAGCCCCGAGATGGTAACCGTGATGTGCAGAGGGGTCAGGAGGTTGGCTGGGGCGCGGGATAGAGGCGCCCAGGGCACTCACTGCCTTGCCCTTTCCTATAAAGAGCCCCGTATAGAGTGCAGGCCCGAGATTTGTTTTCTAGTTGCTTCATTTTCCAAGCCTCACTGGCTTTATTCCTAAAGTGGGGGTGATAGTACTTGTCCCACGGGCACCCATGCTGGGGGCAGTGATTACCCCAAACTCTGGGAACCCAGGCAGCCTCTATAAGTGTGAAGACCCAGACAGCCCTACCCCAGCACTAGGGATGTAGTGTGTGGGGGAGATGGGTCACAGCAGAACAGGAAGGGTGGTGGGCAGCCCAGTTTGGGAAAAGCCCCAGAAGGATGGGGCCTGCTGAGGTCTACACCATCCTTGAGGGTGATGGAGGCAGTAGGGAGGAGGAGGAGTCTGGGGCAGGGGAGTGGGAGGCAGGTCCCGAGGGGGGCCAAGGCTTGCGGAGGGCAGGACAGCAGTGGCACTAGGAGAGAGAGAGGTTGCTGCCCCAGGTTGGAGCAGGAACTGCATAGAGGGTGGTTGCTGGCCTGCTGGGGGGCAGAGCCTTCTGTCTGTGAGCTGGGTTCCTCCAGCAAGGAGCCTGCAAGAGAGCCCTGTATGAGATGGGGAGGAAGCAGTCAAGTCAGTGGCCAGGTTGGTGGGACCCTTGCAGCAATCCTGAGAGGTAGGTCCTGTCATGGTACAGAGGAGGAAAAGCTGCCCTAGAATGGCTACCTTGCTCAGGTCTCAGGAAGCAGTGCAGCTACGACTTGAACTCTGTAGGCAGTAAATTTAACTGCAGGGAGCAGCCAGTAACTCCCCAGTCTTTTCTCTCATGCCTGCTTCTGGGAGGGTGCAAAGAAGCCACTTTTCACTTCCTCTTGAAAGCTTCCCCCAGTGTCACCCCCATGTCCCTGAATCCAGGTTGGAGCTTCTGTGCTTGCTAGCAGCTTGGGCTCACCCTGTCCTAGTACTGTTTCAGATGGCCTGAGGGCAAGGACATCCATGTTCCCAGTGCA